GAAAAAATTTCATTACGAAATATGTTAATTGTCAAAACATACCCGTACTACATATCTCACGTTGCTCTACAAAGCGTCTATACCATTTGCTTGATATGTAAGGACCATCTAGAATCACAGTATTACTGATTTTAAATGGTTTGTATCCTTTTTACATGATTATAAAAAAATTATGGAAAAAAAAATTAAAAGTCGCTCATATGTTCAAAAAATTCAACAATATGATCCAAACTCAATTCCAAACCAAACTACAAGTGTTGCAGACAAACAATGCGAAAAGAAAACTTTGAAAAAGAATCGGGTGTGTTTCTTTAAAAAGATGAGATTGTTCATCAAAACTCATGTCTCAACAAAATTGGATAGCCGAAGGGAAGAACACTAGTTCCAAAATTTTTCTACGGGGAAGCCATTCTAACTGTAAACTACTTTATTAATACATTGTCTTCCCTGATCCTTGAGTTCCAAACACCTTACCAAGTCATGCTTTAATACTTTTCTACCACTCGACTTCTATCTATCCTACCTATCAAATTCTTCAATTATTCAAATTTTATTCACATAGACAACTAGCAAAAAAGCAAACTATATCTAAAATCAATAAATTGTATCTTTGTCGGATATTTATCAAACCAAAAAGGATATAGTGTTATTCATCAGTCACCTAGAAGTTCTCTAACTCCATGGATGTCACCTTCATGAAAACTAACCATGCTACAATATTAGTATTCAAAAGGAGAAGAATACACAAGAATCCCAAAACTCTACTACTGCATATTTTTATCTACCTCCAACTAAACTTATTCAATCCCCAAAACACACAGATAAAGATGAGACACTTGGGCCTGAACCTACTCACTACAGTTGAGAACCTAAACTTTAGGTTTACACTAGAAGGTACAAGACCAAGAAGAGAAAGAGATACAACCACCTGACTAGATTCATGAATCTAATTCAGATCTAGAACTAGCATTTTGAATACTTCAGGCAACACAAGTTCAAATCATACTATATTGTCAAGCATGATTTTTTAGGAAAAAAGGGTAATTATCATCACATATGTTTTTTTTTTTTTGAAATAAAATTATCATCACATATGTTAATGATGTAATAATTATAAAGAATGACATGGACAAGATATTCTCATTAAAAAAAGGTCTTAACTAAATAATTTGAGATTAAAAATCTAACAAATCTCAAATACTTATTAAGAATGAAAATTACTAAGTCAAAGAAAGGAATCTTAGTTTCTCCGAGAAAATATGTACTGCATCTTCTAAAGGAGACTAGAATGCTAATTCAAGTCCGCAAACACACCAATAGATCCCACAATAAAGGATTATAAAGAATGACACGGAGGAAATACTCATATTGAAAATGTCTTAACTAAAGAATTTGAGATTAAAGACCTAATAAATCTCAAATATTTCTTGGGAATAGAAATTGTTAGATCAAAAAAAGGAATTTCACTTCTCAAAGAAAAA